CAATGAGTACCAGACTATATTTTTTCAATAAATTTAGTATCTTTCATAACTTCAAAAGGCATTCGTAGAAGCTATTGAAAACGAATAAATTGCTTCATTTTAAGGAGTTCTTTAAATAAATTCAAACACATTTTTCTGTAAAATAAAATGGAAAAACCTTATTCATCATTTCACTTCATCATTTTTCATTTCATCACTTTGTTTATGGTTCTGTTGCAGTGGCAATTTACAGAGCGACTGTTTTAGTGTATTATATCGGGTGCTTCTCAAAAGTGGCTTACCCCTATAACTTTTTTATTTTTTCAGACAAAAAAACGAGATTTGGTTTAGCATATGACATAAATTAGGACTTATTGACGTATTCAGTTGTTTTTGACTACAACTTTTGATTTTTAAATAGCACCCTCGGCATTTTTCTACTTTATTCGATAGAAGATGACATTCTGAATAGAATGACATATCATATGTCAACTTTTGACATTTTTGATTAAAACAAAATTGTATTTTAAATTTCAATCTAGAGTGCCATGGCTGTGTTAAAAACACTAATTTTTAATCAAGGAGCCTTGGGAAAATAGATTTGATCGTCTAATGTTTTTAGTGTCTTATCCTGGCCGGTTAAAATATGCTCAAATCGTATTTTTAATCATATCTCAATTTTTTCAAATTGAACGAGGGTGGCTCATTAGCATATGAAAAAAGCATTTATTTACGAATATATTTGGTACAACACACTTGGTATTATTATTGAGTCAAATTGTCGTTATGAATCGCACGTTGCAATTTTAAATAAACCATATTCAAAAACGTCAAAAGTTTACATATGATATGTCATTCTATTCAGAGTGTCATTTTCTATCGAATAAAGTAACACAATACTGAGGTGAAATTGTAACATCGGTTCATAACGGCAATTTGACTCGAAATACCAAGTGTGTGGTACCAAATTATTCGTAAAAAATGCTTTTTACAAATATGCTAGTAAGTCATCCTCGTTCCATTTGAAAAAATTGAAATATGATTAAAAATACAATTTAGGGATCTTTTAACCAGTCAGGACAAGACACGAAAAACATTAAATGATCAAATATATTTTCCAAGGCTCCTAGATAAAAAATTAGTATTCTTAAATTGTTTTTAGGTGAGAGATAGGCGGAACTTTATAGAAACATATGGAACTATATTGTCACAAAATGCCTGATTGTCCGACTTTTTGGGTGTTCAAAGTAACTTTCTAGTTCCAGTAGTTACCATAGTGTACAAAATTTAAATACATTTAAGAATAATAAGGTTCCAAAGTAGTAACCGATACTACAAAGTAACTTTTGGGTAGTAACAACTTAATCACTGGAAGTAACGGATCTTTTAAAGTAAAAAATGGGTAGTCCCTGCTACTTCATAGGGAAGAGCCTAACTTTATCGTAGCGAAGTGTGCGTCAGCCATTTTTTACTCTCAGAAATTTTTTAATTAAATTTATTTGTTAATATATTTTCATTTTTTCTTTATTTTCCCAAGTTTTATATTGCTTTAAGCATTTATTTTTTCAATTAGAACTCGAACACACTTTCGTGCATTACGAAATATTATTTTTAGTATTTTTGATATTATTTTTTGTCCTTAAATATCTACAAAATTGAATTAATTCGAAGGCGCCTTAAAATATTTCCATCTAACTCGGTAATATTTGTCAGTAAAGTGATGTGCGTTATAATATTAGTCCGGGAAGTGTCCGAAATACGGGATTAAAAACCATAATTTTCCTCATAAACATAAAACGCCATTATTAACTTAACTTTAACATGGCCATGCACCGCGGCTGTCATATTATATTATTATTTCATTTCAAAACGTTTTTTAAAAGTAGAGGTCGCTAGAAGAATGTTTTGCTACTATATAGTAGCAGTTACCAGGCGGCTACGTACTACTCTACTACTCTTTCACTTTATAGTTCCGAAATATAGTGGCAGCGTTAGTCCCTGGGACCACCCGGTATACTACCCAGTTACCCTTAATTCTTCCCCATTTTAGTAACAGTTACGTGGCGGCTACGTGGCGGCAACGTAGCCGTCGATAGTGGCAGTCTACTTGATGGTCGCTTTTGTAGTCCCAGGAACGTACCTGCTACTATCTGTGTTGCTTGGGAATTTCTTGTCTTGTCTTGAAATATTTTCAAGAATTAAACAAAAATCTTGTCTTGACCATTTCTTGAGAGTTGATTTCCTGTCTTGATTCAAGAAATCTTGAAATTTCTTTATATCTTGACAAAAGGGGAACCCTCGTTTAAAATTCGTTTATTAAAGGGGAACCCTCTGTTTAAAAGTCGCGGTGAGATTGGTTAATGTGATGTTTATGCTTTATGCCTTAAATCGAGGGTCAGGCATCTAATTTTCAAAAAATTCAAAAATTTTGGGCTGATTATACTACATACAGTAGCCAAAATTATCAGATTTATACATAATTGTGTTAATTATTATTATTATTAGCTACATACAGTAGCCAAAATTATCAGATTTATACATAATTTTGTTAATTATTATTATTATTATCTAACATTAAAATGATTGTGATGGTTCGTTGAGCAGCAAATCTGAACCATTCGTAATTGAATCTGGTTCAGAATACCTGCCACCTCAGACACCTGGACGTAGAAGTTTAATTAGTGACTTTGACGGTAGTGACGGTGATAATACTACTACAGATAACAGCAGTCAAAATATCAATGATAAAAGCTACTCTACTTCAGTGGCGTACATTAAAATGTATTATTTTTTTATTTTAAGTTTTACGTTAATTCAAAAAGTCTGTATGCCACTGAAGTCGACCCGCTTTGCAAAGTTTTTTTTATTCTAATATCGTAGGCCATAACATATCCAAAAAATTATAAAAAAAAACATTTAAAAATTAAAAGATTATTAGGCATTAAAAAAGGTTCCAATTAAATTTGGCCCACAGTATGCCAATTTTGGACATCCGACTTTGGACGTACTTATGCCAACTTTGGACATTGGACATCCGACAAAATGCTGCTTCGTACAAATATTTTTTGCTTAATAATTTTTTTATCCATCAATTAATGGATATTCATATAATATAAAATATACCTAAGTAAATGAGCATTTCTTTTTTATTTTATACTTTCAAGAAATTTCAAGATTTTCTTGATTTCTTGTCAAGAAATCTTGATCTTGAGAAGTAATTTCTTGTCTTGATATTGTGTTGAAATCAAGACAAGATCAAGACAAGATCAAGAAGTTGTCAAGAAAATGACGACTCCTAGAAAATATACAGGATATGATATCGATTTTAGAAAATATCATCCGAGCCGTAAATTTCGTGCAATAAATAAAAAGAAATAAACGTCTCAGAAACATTTGTTTCTATATTTTAAAATTTTTATCGCACGAAATATGTATAGAAAATACTTAGACGACAATTATTGACACTATGATACACAACGAACGCAGTGACACCAATGCTTACTGGTCGAATATTCAACCGCTTACGTTAACCTTTCGCGCCAATTCGGCCAACGTAAAGATATATAGCTGATTAAATGGCCAAGGCGCGCATAGAAATAAGCATAGAAAACAACCTCGGCGATAAAACACTTCCACGCAACTGATTAGTTGGTTAAATTAAAGTGGTCGATTTAACGACCATCCACCTATATAGAGTTAAGGAAAAAATATCTTTTAAATGAAAATTCTTTACGCGCGCTGAGAGTGAAAACTCAAGGCAGTGACACACGAGTCAGCGAGATGACACGCGAGACAAAAAGTGAAAACGATCGAAAAAGTGGTAAGCCAATGAGGAAGTTAAGATGGGCTTTGGAGCGTCGAAACTCGGGCCCTATGTGAGCTAGAGGGCTGAAACTCGGAATGTGGATGGGGCTCAAAAAGTACGAGACGTCTCACTGTGACAGTAAGTTTTGACGTAAGAAACGTCAAAAGTTGATGTCGTTCGATCGCGACTAAATATGGTGGGCAGGTTATGTGAGCGACGTTGCACACGGCTCCACCCTGCAAAATTGGATACGATGTTTCGTTTACACCTTCATCAGGGTGGGACTAAGGATTTGATATACAAGAAAAATATGACTGAAAAAAATATTTTATAGATATAATTATCAAAATTTAAAACTTATAAATTATATACATACAAGGTGAGTCTTAAATAAGTTGTAATTTTTTTAGAGGTTAGGTTAGTATATTTCGACTCCAGAAACACGATTTTATTATGAAGTTTTTTTGCGAAAATTTTTTTTGAAAATTTGGAAAATTTTTTGGAGTTTTTTAGTTTTTAACATAGATAGTAGGTTAAATTTAAAAGAAAAAAATCCTAAAAAGATCCTGTGGTTCTCAAAATTTAAGCAAAAAACATTTTTTTTTTGGAAATTTACAAAGTAAAATAACTCGATTATATTGGATTTATTTGAAAAACGGAGCCCTGAAAATATTTGCACTTATTTAAGACTCACCCTGTATATTATGCCGCAACAACTCATAAGCATATTTTTCAACGCTTCGTAAGAATGATGGGGTCCTGACTGCCGATTCAGTAACTAGACCAATATTACTTCAGTTGTGAATTGTAATGGTGGCGATTTGCAATTTTCTTGCAAATGTGATTTTGATTTAAACTTTGACTGCTATTTGAACTGCACACCATATGTGTACCGATAGACTGAAAAAAGCAGTGTTGGGATGGTAAATCGCAACTGAAGCAATCAATATTAGATGCCTAAAAATCCAAAGTTGGCAGATAGATGTTTCAATCGCAAATCGCAGTTTACTATGAAAAACGATCGCAGCGAGGGTGGACCCTAGACCCTCGCTTATCGTCCTTTATAACCCACAAGCTACCACTAATGTAAAATAATTATGAGATAAGTTAATTCTATATATTTTACAAGCTGTATCGAGTTGAATATTGAATAAGTAGCGGGACCAGACTGAAGTCTAATACCTCACGCGTTTGATTTGATAATTGTAAAAATTACCTTCCTGCCGGCTTTATTATTGTGCAAATTCATCAGGCTCCTCTCGTCCCCATCGAACTCCCTCGCGTCCATGAACTTCCTTGCCCACCTGGTGCCGAAATCAACGTCGGCGCTGCAACCGCCCCATTTCCAGCCGTGGGGCGCCGGCTCCTTGTGTCTGGAGGGGCTCTGGCAGCCACAGGACGAGATGTTGCCCCGGGAACAAGCTGCGGTGATGGCGAAGGTGACGCCGGCACTGCTGATGGCATAGGTGAAGGCGGCCTCTCGGGAACCTGGAAAGAATATAGATATTTATTAAATATTAACAAGTAACATACCTGTTAAAATCTTTGAATAAAAAGACTAAGGAATGTGTATAGTGCTATTCATGTATTCATGCATTGTAGACGGAATCGACATCATAGGTCTCCATCCTTGACAGTTCTGTTTGACCTTTCAGTTGAAACATTTGAATTTGATTTGATTTTTTTTGGATTTGTTTTATCTTTACTGAGCTTTGTTCTATGTTATTTATTATTAATTCAACAATTATTGATCTTGTATAGAAGTAGTAAATATAGAAGGTAATTGTGTCAGAACTTAAATTAACAGGGACATTATTGCGATTTATCGAAAAAGGCTGTAAAATGGTTGTGAAACATGCAGGGCCGGCAGAAGGGAAATATTGAGACCGGGCGAGTACCATAACTGGCGCCCCCCCCCCCTTTTAGAAGTTATTATAACTCTCTTTTTCCTTCAATACTATACTTTAACTACAACTAAGCATTATTATCCTACTTTAACAAAAAAAATTACTTAAAGATACTTCAAAATTCTTCTCTTCGTTCAATCTTATTCTATACGGTTGTTGTTTTTTCTACAACGGGTGCATCTGAAAAATGACTCACCCCTATAACTTTTTTTTTAGATAAAAAATCGCGATTTGGTATGTTACTATATGACATAAATTAGCCTTGATTGACGTATTCAACATTTTCGCTTAATAAATCGTATTTTAAATTTCTAATCTAGAGTGCCATGATTGTTTTAAAAACACTGATTTATTAATTTAAACAAGGAGCCTTGGAAAAATAGATTTGATCGTCTAATGTTTTTCGTGTCTTGCCCAGGCCGGTTAAAAGATGCCCAAATCGTATTTTTAATAATATCTTAATTTTTTCAAATGGAACAAGGGTGGCTCATTCAAACCAACCACACAAATCAAACCACACACCTGGTATTTCGAGTCAAATTGTTACAAATTGTTAGCCGTTATGAACCGCATGTTACAATTTCAAATAAGGCATATGCAAAAATGTCAAAACTTGATATATGATATGTCATTCCATTCAAAGTGTAATTTTCTATCGCATAAAGTAGAAATATACTAAGGGTACTATTTAAAAATCCAAAGTTGTAGTAATTTCCGGTGAAATTGGAAGTGACCAAAAACAACTGAATATCTCAATTATTAATCCTAATTTATGTCGTATACTAACATACCAAATCTCTTTTTTTCATCTGAAAAGATAAACAAGTTATAGGGGTGAGCCACTTTTGAGACGCACCCGGTATATATAGCTATAAGAAGTATAATTCCAATTTCGGCAGTCTCGTTCTGGTATAAGTGATCTTTGAAAACATTAGTATTTAGTTGCAAGCAGTTGCATTATTTTTCTATAAGAATTTAAAAAAAAAATTTCTTTCCTTTTCACAATCAATTATTATGTGCAGAATCAGTATACAGGGTGGCCCATCGAAAACGTGCCGCAAGGCATAACGGCCAGGGTCATTTTTTTCAGAAAATTCAAAAACACGTCAATTTTATTTGTGAGGGGGACAACTTTTACCCCAAAAATGATTGCAAAATCTTCAACCCTCTAAGCGGTGGTGCCATCCCCCAACTTTTTTCAAATAGGAAGGGGGGTCAAGTGGTACCACAATGAAAAAGGCTTTTTATTCTCTATACTTTCCTGCTTCGTTTTTGAAAATCGGTCGAGTCATTGAGAAAATATGAAGGATTGAAATTTGAAAAGTTTATTTAAACATTTATCAGAGTAAATGATAAGGATAAATTCCTTCGACCAATTTGCTGTTTTTTCTTATTATTTCTAGATGTTTACGCATTTTTTCACTTGCCACAAGGTTGAACGATCAGGTGCGGCAGTTGCTAGATAACTCTTCTCAATATCGTTAAACTTTTTAACAATTATGGTGTACTCACTTGCAGAAAAAGTGGACATAATCGAACTTTATTTTAAAAATAATGAATGTAGCAATCGGGTACCGCAGATATTCAATGAATGTCATCCTGAAAAACACCTTTATGGCAAAATTGTTCGCGAGTTAGTAGCAAAATTTCGCGAAACTGGTTCCGTTAGGAATAAAAAGAGGTAGAGGGAAAACCCTGTAGTAAATGAAGCTATGGAGGTATTTGTATTGGGCCAAGTTGCCATGGATAGTAGTACCGCAGATATTCAATGAATGCCATCCTGAAAAACACCTTTATGGCAAAATTGTTCGCGAGTTAGTAGCAAAATTTCGCGAAACTGGTTCCGTTATGAATAAAAAGAGGCAGAGGGAAAACCCTGTAGTAAATGAAGCTATGGAGGTATTCGTATTGGGCCAAGTTGCCATGGATAGTACGCTGAGTACAAAAAAATTAGCCAATGCAAAATTAGCCGGCGTGAATCGTACCAGTGTCCAAAGGATATTAAAAAAACACAAGTTCCACCCGTACAAAATTCAGTTGGTACAAGAACTCAACGAAGACGATTTTGATCGTCGCTTGCAATTTTGTGAAACTGTGAGTGAACGAGTGGCGAATGATAATAATTTCCTATTTAATGTGTGTTTTTCGGATGAGTGTACTTTCTTTTTGTACGGTGTAGTTAATCGGCATAACTGTCGGTACTGGGCTGAGGGGTTCTTCACGAGGTGCACACACAAAACCCTCAGAAATTGTACGTGTGGGCTGGTATTTTTGGAAATTCTATTTTAGGTTAAACTGACGATATTGAGAAGAACTTCAACGCACAAGTCACAGAACAGCTATCTAGCAACTGCCGCACCTGATCGTTCAACCTTGTGGCAAGTGAAAAAATGCGTAAATATCTAGAAATAATAATCATCATTTACTCTGATTAATGTTTAAATAAACTCTTTTCAAATTTCAATCCTTCATATTTTCTCAATGACTCGACCGATTTTCAAAAACGAAGCGGAAAAGTATAGAGAATAAAAAGCTCTTTTCATTGCGGTACCACTTGACCCCCTTCCCATTTGAAAAAAGTTGAGGGATGACACCCCCGCTTAGAGTGTTGAAGATTTTGCAATCATTTTTGGGGCAAAAGGTCTCCTCACAAACAAAATTGACGTATTTTTGGATTTTTTGAAAAAAAAATATCCTGGCCGTTATGCCTTGCGGAACGTTTTCGATGGGCCACCCTGTATGTATGATCAGACAGTTTTGTCGGCTCCAAAATGAGGATCAGTCTTTGTGAGAAATTTTTCTTTGTGTAATTTCTCTAATGAGAAAATTCTACGATTCTGTTACCATTTTCCATGCATTTCCATATGCACTCCGGAACAATCTAAACCACCAAAAGATATCTTTTCCCACTAGTGTTAATAAATTAATTTAATTAATGAGGCAAACTGATAAGCTTTTTTTGATAATAAGGATATCGGGATCCTCTTCAGCTTTTTTCGAATGAATTCTGAAAAATTTTTGCCTCATATAATCTTAGGGCATCAGCCATTAATAACAAATAACGGTTGTGGGTAGTAGAAAAAGTGCGATTTTGAGCGGTCAGTCTAAAATTGTCAATTTTGCTGACCCAGAATTATAGAAAGAAGGGTTATTTAAGTTGATAGTTTTTGAGTTATAAGTAAAATACCACGAACAAATCAAATTTATATTGTTTTATTTTATTTTGTTTAAGATTTTTCCACTAAAATGAATTCGCAAATCTCAGTTTCGAATAGAGCACCCAAAAAACATATTCATAGAAAAGAAGAAATCAAAACTATCCCAAAGCTTTCGTGCTTTCGATTTTTTTGAGCATAATTTCAGTAAACTATAATACCGATTAATATCGGTACTATCAATTTCCACATTAAATTAGCAATTATCATACCCACATAGGCATAAGGAAGAAATATCTGACTAAACATTATAAACACTACTATATCCTAGACGTATCCTATTATAGTTTACTGAAATTATGCTCAAAAAAAATCCTTAGCACGAAAGCTTTGGGATAGTTTTGATTTCTTCTTTTCTATGATGTATATCAATAATTATATTGATCTGGTTTGTCATTACTATTTGTTTAGATTACTGTTTTTAAATATTTTATTTGCCGTCGTGGCGCCCCTTCCGCCGGCCCTGGAAACATGCGGTAGATATCAGTCAAAAATCTAGGGAAATAATGGAACTTTTCACCGATAAGTTACTATATAATATCATCATCATCATTTTCAGCTTATTCAAGCATTTCCAATCATAGTGTTGTAGCCTCCCATACATATTTAAATACTCTTTTTGTAGTTGGGCCCATTGGTTGTCTATTGTTGGCTATGCGGGTCCAAGTTATTACCCTGCTAATTTTCTAATATCATGGTCCCATCTCAGGTTCGGTCTTCTTCACGGTCCATATTCGGACCTTCTTCACAGACTATATTCCTTATAGGTTCCATGCTGTAATTTTTTGTGGTCCATCTGTTGTCCGTCCTTCTTGCGAGGTGAGTGATTTGACTCTGTGATTGACTCTGGTGCCCAGTGCCACTTGAGTGATTTGACTCTCGGGGATGACATCGATTTCCTGGGTCTTTTGTCGTATTCACTCTATTCTTTTACGGTTTCTCTTGCTTATTCCCAGCATATTTCTATTGAGCGTTGTACAACCTGCAGTTTCCTTACGATGTCCGTTTTAAGTATCCAGGTTTTCCATGCATAGGTCATCACTGGTAGTACACATTGGTAGAATGTTTTCTTCTTTAGTTAAAGTGGCATTCTACATTTGAATATGATTGAGTTTCTTCTATATCTGGCAAACACACTGGCCACCTCCTTTCGTTGATACCAACTTCTTCTAGGTATTGCGTGATACACATTGTCACCTCTTCATGTTAAAAAATAATATCAAAAAGTAATGATTGAGAAAGTTGTAAATTGTTGGTGGCAAGTATAGAAGCAAGAAGATATATGGTTTATTTAATTATATATAAATAAATAAAATTTACAGAAGAATATAATAATTTTTTGTACATCTATGTAGTACATACATTT